CCCCAAAACCCCAAAACCCCAAAACCCCTCTATTTGGAATTTTGATTGAGTGAATTAGAATTTAGAGCTGTAGTTCAGTTATTCTGTGAAGATCATGTTGAAACTTCTTTTGTACCAGTGTGAAGCTTGATCTTCGTTAGCATAATGACCTGGTCCTGGACTATCGTGGGCTTTGGGATCCTCAAACCTTCCTGCAGATATTAGGAAGTTTTGATCTTTAGCTTTAGAAGTTTTAGGTTTGCTTTCATCAAATGTTGCTTTATATTCATAATATCCAGGGGCTAGCCAGGCATCTGTTTCATTGAATTTTTCTTGGAAACGCTTAGATTGAGATGAGAAGGGAACTTTGACTTTAGTCTTGGCTTTTAAATTTGCTAATAGTGGATTTTCAAATCCAACTCCTTCCTTTTTCTTTATATTTTCTTCTATAGTATGCTGCTTTACTTCGTAGGTTCCAACAGAGGGACCTTTAGTTTTCTTCTTAATATTATAAGGATTTCGAGGCACTGAAGATAAGAAGATAGAAGAGGATTTCTTATTATTTGATTCTTTATTTGCTATCTAACTGCTTTATATTGTTCTCTGGTTTATACTGTCCAGGTCCAGGAGTAGCTGTTGATTTTGAGGGTACAAATCTCTTTTCAGTAGTTCCAAATGCTTTGTCTTTAGCAGATGGAATCATTCTCCTTTGCTCAGTTCCGAGTTGCTTTGGTCCAACTGTATAAGAACCTGGTCCTGGCTCTTCTATATCTTTCTTTTCGCCAAATCTATTTCCTGAAGAGCTGAAGGGGGGTTTCCTAGATCGATATTGACTTGAGGCTCTTGTTTTAGCAGTTCCCAAGGACTCTCAATGATAACTTCCTGGTCCAACTTTTGACTTTTTCTTACCCTCACTATCAAATCTGGCAACAGTAGAACCAAAGAATTGCTTTCTCTTTGGGGCTATATTCTTATTAAATGAAGAGAGATTTTCATGGTTGATGTAGTATCCTGGGCCTCCATTATCATCATCACTGCTTAAATCTTCTTCAAAATGCTCAATCTTGGGTTTTGTCAAATGATGATATGCAGTGATAGGTCTGGAATGCCCAACAACAGGGATTCCTCTTTTCCTCCTCTTTATTTGCATAGATGTAGCTCTTTCCACTTTTGAAGCAAAGACTGAGCTTTGCATATATTTATAGATAGGGAAAATATCTGTCTTTTCTACTTGATAATGGCCTGGACCGACTGCATTATTTTCTTTTGGCTTCTTGGTTTTGAACCTTTTTGTTTTAGTTTTCTTCCATTGGATGGTTCCTTTCTTGCTGCCAGCTATTGAGTTAGGAAGTTCATATTGGCCAGGTCCAACCCTATCCTCTTTAATGCCGGTGATAACTTTTTCAGGGTTCTTTTGCTTCTTTAAGATTCCTGATTTAGTTTCTTCGTACCCAAATACACTTTCATGTGAAGGAATTGAAGGGGCATTTGGGGGGCGTTCCCACTGAAATTGCTGAGAATGGGCTTTAGAAGTTTTCTTTGTATTTTTAACCCAATTATCTTCAGGTACGTATCTTCCAGGCCCCAAATTTTGATTATCTTTCTTTTTATTATTAAATCTCTCAACTTTGGAAGCAAAATTAGATGTTGGCTTTAAGCCTTGCACGTTAATTTGATCAACTCCCATTTCTTTTTGTTGTTTATGAGAAACTGATTCTTGTTGGATTCTATCAAATCCTGCGTAGATATGGCTATAATTAAGATCAGTTTGAGGCATCTTTTAGCTAGGTTGAGGCATTAACTAGAATATTTTCTAAATCGTTCTTAATTTTGAAACCTTTTGTCAATAATTTCTTCACTAATTAGAAATAAAACTGATTCAAAAAGTTTTTACTTACTTTGAACTGCTATAGGCTCCTGGGCCAGGGTTATAGCTTGTAGCTGCTTTTGTATTTCTTTTTGAGGAAGCATTAAATGGCACATTATGCTGTCTTGCCTGTTTAGTTGCTATATTTTTGTATTTAAGAATATTTCTTGGCTTGTAGGTTCATATTTTATTTCATAATAAAATTTCTCGAATTTGAGAAAATATTGATTTCATAAGTCACCCAAGAAATCTGAATTTTAGGTAAACAAAGTTCATATTTATCTTTTGATTAATAACTTACAAAGACCAATGTAAGATCCAGGTCCAAGACTAGGATTGCTTTTAGAAGCAAGTGGTATTCTTTCAGACCTAAAAACAAAAGCCATAACTAATAATTATTCAATTATGAATAATTATTCAGGGGTTTTGGGGTTTTGGGGTTTTGGGGTTTTGGGG